TGCATGTTTAGTCACTGAGGTACAAAAAATATATAGCAATTTAAAAAATATGCTCAAATTTAAGTCCTTGGATGCAGTTTATTTCAGGCGATTTTGATTTAACTGTGTTTTAAATAATAAAACAAATGCTTTTGCTATCAAGATACCCTGGGGCAGGGGCGGCTGGTGACCAAAATTTTGGGGGTTCACAGTAGCAGAATATAGATCCCGGTACAGATATAGGTAAAAAATTGTCAGTGTTTTAGAAAGATATTTTATAAACTTTCTAAAATACTGGAAGTTTTTTTTATACATCTGTACTGATACCTATATTCTGTCACTGTACACCCCCAAAATTTTGGCTACGAGCCGGCACTGGCCTGGGGTATTAACTAAGTATGTGCCCTAACTTTAAGGAACGATTCTTTAGGTAATGCTGACATAAAAATTTCATATGAACATGGGTCTGCAAATGTTTCGTTTTTAAAATACAGGGTGTTAAAGTTTTTTAAAAAAATCGGTTTTTTTGTAATATCGTAAATACTCTTTAGCTGATTTTCTGGAAATTTTGTAAAATTATTGGTCATGTTAAGAAGCTAATTTAGACCTAAGCAGAATAAATTTATTAAATCCAGTGGGGTCCTGGTGGCCTCGAAAATTATTGATTCAAAAATTAACACAGCTAGCACAATAACATCCCATGTACGTTAATAAGCTTTAATTTTAGGCTCTTTAGGCTCGCAATTAATGTACTTTTAATGTAACCCTAATATCCATGCAACCGCCGAATGTTTGCAACGGCAAAACTTTTCTAGCACATCTCATAGAGGTTACAAAGTAGAGTTCGGATATCACTCTGTCACTTTTACGGTACTTTTCTCCGAAAGTTGCTCTGAAACGTTCTATAGATGTTATATTGTAAATGAGTTATACAGCAGTGTGTCTACGGAGGGACTTAACTATACTTATTTATTTTAAATTAAAAAAAAGATATTCTTTTCTAAGATTTTTATAAAAACTTTTGGATGTATTTTCTTTAAAGCACCCTCATATTTATGTTCACTTTTTGTAAATATATAATTATTATTATTTCTAGTTTTATTATTTCTAGCTTCCTCATAATTTATTTGTCTTATCCTAATTTGATTCTTTATTTCATCTATTTCTTTTTCTATCTTTTACTCCTCCATTAAATATTTTTTTAAAATTCTTTCTTCTGCCTCCTCTACATTCCTTTCTACAATAGTGTCTATACCAGTTATGATATTTCCCATTCTTTCTTTTGTATCTTGTTTCTTTAATTTGACTTCATTTACTTCTTTTTTAATTATGTCTATTTTCTTTTTCATATATTCTTCTACTTCATAAATTCTTCCTACCAGTTTTTCTTTAATCTCCTTCTTTGTTTCAAGAATTTCAATTTTCGTCTGTTTCTCATATTCTTCCATTTGTTTTTAAAATTTTTGTAATTTTTCTTTCACTTGCCTACTCTTTTCTTCTATTCTTTTAGTCATATTTGTCTGCTCATCCATTTTACAAATCATCTTATGCATGTCCTGTGTTATTTATTCATTGTTCTGTTTTCTATGTTGATCCATTTTATTCATATTTTGTTCTATTTTATTCATACTTCCCATTAAAATTTTAAGCATGTCCATCACACTTCCTTCCTTAGTTTTAATAACTTCTTGTTCTATGGTACTACTTGTTTTTTCTATCTCTTCTCCTTCTTGAATAATTTCTTCTTCCTCATTATTCCTTTCAAATGTAATTTCTACATGATCACCTTGTTCTAGTAGTGACAATATAACTCATTAATTAACTTCTGTAACCTGAAGCAGAATAATTTTGTAAAAAACTATACCAATAGAATACTGGACTTGGTTCTTTGCCCTGAAAATCTAGTTTGTGAGGTTTTTCAAAACCTACATCCCCTGGTATTAATTGACAACCACCATCCTGCTTTAATTGTGAATTTGGAGATACATTGTGAAAATGAAAAATTATTTATTACTAATAAAAAACGTTACAACTTTAGGAAAATGGACAACCAAAAATTTACTAACTTGTTAAATAATATACAGTGAGAACAGCTTAATCATCATCCTGATATGAACTCGGCATGTAATAAATTTAATGAAATTATCCAGACCCTTATTGTTCAGTGTGTTCCGCTAAAGTCAACTAAAACTAGAAAATATCCAATCTGGTATTCTCGTGATTTAATACTTAGCTTAAAAAAACAACACTTTCTAAAACTTTATAAAAAACGTAAACTTCTCTTTTATCTACAACGTTTTAAAAACCTAAGACTCATTGTAAAACTTGATATAACTAGCTGTTATAATAGATTCATTTAAAATTCAGAAAATAACATTAAACTAAATCCTCTACGTTTTTGGTCATATATTCAATCCAAACAAAATAAAACTAGGATTCCTGGGAAAATGTCATACAGTAACGAAACCCTAACCACTCCCCAATCTATTGTGAATGCTTTTGCCAGGCACTTTGGTAGCGTATTTAGTGATGGATCTGATGATGAGATACTAGTAATTTCCTTAATATTAGTTATATGTCTCAAGATCAAATTATCAACGCAGTTAATAAATTAAAAAATAAGTTAACCTGTTGTCCTGATAATGTTTCATCCAAACTGGCAAAAAATTATATAGGTTTTTTGTCAGTTCCACTCTTTTACATATTTAATCGTATACTACAAGAAGAGGCCTATCCAGACATTTGGAAAATATCTAGAATCTGTCCCGTTTTCAAAGCTGGTAAAGTTTCTGATATATCAAATTACAGACCAATCGCACTAATCTCAGTTTTTTCCAAAATTTTTGAAATTACGTTTTCTAATATATTATATTCCCACGTAAAAAATTCAATCACGGAATACCAACATGGTTTTGTGAAGCTCAGAAGTACCGCGTCAAATCTGTGTACATTTACGCAATACATATCTAGTTCTTTAAAATGTAGAAATCAAGTTGACGTCGCTGCACAGATTTTAGTGAAGCGTTTGATAAGGTGTCTCACAAACAATTACTTCTGAAACTGAGACAATTTGGTGTTTCAAAGAATATGCAATCACTGTTAGCCTTTTTTAACTAATCTGTAAAAGGTCTTTACAAAAACATAATACATATTCCTTAGACCAAAATAAGTGGATTTAAGTAAAATTACCTTAGTACAAAGTTGCTTCGTTTGGGCTCCAGAGGGCCTTGAAGTTACAATTTTTAAATGGTTTTTCCCATATAAATTTAAAACGGCATATGCGATTTTGCTGAAATTTGGTATATTGGTAGAGTTTTATGTGGAAAAAAAATGGTATTAAAATTTTGTTCGATAATACATAGGCGTATAACTTGATTTTTTAAATATTTGCACCTTTAAAAATTCTACGCCAATGGAAGAAAAGGAGTTTAAGTATGAAATTTAGATTGCGCAACTCATTTACTTTAAAAAAGGTACTCTTGATAAGACTCGATTATCTCATGGTTTTCGCTAAATTTACATAACTGGTGTATCGTAAATAAACTATCTTTGAATACTAACAAATGCAAAGTCCTATCCTTTTTTAGGAAAGTAAGACTGTCTTATATGATTATCAATTAGATAATCTTGTTATTTCCCGGATATATAATTACAAAGATTTAGGTATCTATTTGACAGCAAACTGACTTTTTCGGAACACATTGAAAATACTGTACAAAGTGCAACAAAAATCTTGGGTATTGTTATTAGAAACTGTAAAAAGTTTAAATCTTTAGAAGCCATCTTCTCTGTTTATTTTTCACTAGTTCGTAGCAAACTGGAGTATTGCAGTTGTGTTTGGAATACTAACCATTTAAAGTACATAAGTGCATTAGAATCTGTCCAAAGAAAATTTTTAAAATTTATTTACTTTAAAAAACATGGCAGTTATACTATTCGTCACTATGACTATAATTTATTGTTAGAAGAATTTAGTTTTGTGAGTCTGAGAAAAAGAAGAAAAATAGCAGATTTAATATTCATCTATAAATTAATTAATAATTCTATAGATTCATCTTCTCTGCTGTCTCAACTTAATTTTCATATCCCACGTATTACGTCAAGGTCAAATATAATATTTCATATTCAAGTGCCAAATTCACAACATCACTTTCACAGTCCTTTAAAACTACAATGTGTAGAAGTGTCAATCAGTATTCTGTTGATATATTTTTTCTAAAATTTTACCAATTTAGAGAGCAATATTACAGATTGGTATCAAATTAGATAATTAGAATGTAATTTAGTTAAGTAAGTATTCTGAAACTTTGTATTTTTAAATATATTATATACTCCTGTAATTGGGCTGATAAAGCCTGTTGGATGTATTAATAAATAAATAAAATAAATAAATAAAGTATGCCGGTCCTGTCTTATGAAAGAAAAACCATTTAGATTTACTATGTTACTACATATGTTATGCTTTAATCATGTCTCTGTTACTCCTACAATATCAAAACTTTCATTTTGAATTAGGTGACAAAAATCTTTAAAGTGTGGGACTAAAGATTGGCAATTAATATATACAGTGTTGAACGACATTAAACTATTTATTTAGTAACAGAGCCTAACCTTGTTCCTTTGTATATTTTTAAATTTAATTTGGCTTCTGTTGTTGGTTTGCTTTCTTTTAGTTTTTCTATTTTTTTTTATGTCGACTTCTTATTGAATATTTTGGTTGCTACTTCCGTTCTTGTTGTTCTCTGCAATTTGTTCAGTTGCAATAGATTGTAATAATGCAGATCTACCATCAATTAAAGAAGTTGGTGGGTCACTAGGGCCTTACTGATTGGATTCTTCAATTGCGACAATATCTTAAACTGTGTAAACTGTATTGTTTCTATAAAGTTTTTCGCTCTTTATATGAACAACAACTATCACTACTTGAATTTCTTACTTCCTTAAGATGTTTTCTTAATATTTTATTTCTTTCCTGTTGCAGCTTAGTTAACTTAGTTTTTACATTTACTCAAGATTTTAACTTAGGTGAAGCGGGCTAAAAGTTCTAAATTTATTAGTTCTTTTCTTGTATTGCCTCCCAGTAAATATATATCACTAATGACACTTCTGTTGAGATTAATTTCTAGTATTGTATTAAGCTTATTGCATATGTTTTGAACTGAAACCTCTTCCGGTGTTAAATTTAAGCCGAAAATCACAAGATTATTGTTTTTTGAATTACTTTCTAATTTTTCTATGTTTCTTTTTAATCCAATATTTTCAAATTCCAAAGTTTTAATTCTCTCATTGTAGTTTTCAATTTTTAACAATATTCTAGCTTCACTAGCACAAATAGCCGATTTTAGTTCTTGAACAATTTAACTTAGATCTTTGTTGTTCATGATTTAGCTTTTATATTGGCAACGATGCAGGAAATAATTGCGATCAATTAAATATTTGGCAGGCGATTTTAAAAAGTATCGGTAGATATCAAGTTGATCAAAGGTCACTTTATATGAACAATTCAATGTTTTATTCTTTAACACAATTATTTAAGTATTTTTTTTTACTCACATTGAATAATTACTTCTTATGAAGGGATACACATCACTATTTCAATTTAATATTTCACTTTACTTAAGATATTTTATTAATAAAAACAAGTCAGCCTGGAATGTGTCATGGCCGAAAGAAAGCTTGCAAATTATCTTAGTAACCCATACTAAGAAATATCAATATTGTAGGGAGTTGTGACCATAATTTCCCGACCTTGTTCTTGGTTCTAGGATAATAAATTAAAAACTAAATGATTATTCAAAGTAATAAAGATTACAAAAAATTAATATTCTTTTAATGGTTTTATTATGTTGGTCTTAAAATTAATTAAAATTAACAGTACATTCTGTTGAGGCATGATTAATGATTCGCTAATTTATTATCATCTTGTGTACCTAACAACTAGATAATATGATTATGTTCAACATGTTTTTACATTTTATATGTTGTCACAAATACACCTTTTGAGTTGCTTCTTGTTGTTCTTTACTGCAATTTCACTGCTGTATAATTAACTGCTGCAACAAAAACAATTCACTCTTTGGCTAATACCGTAACAGAAACTTAGTTTCATCTCTTTAACAATTGAGACGCGCTATTATTTGGGGTGTGCTGCGAATGTGCGCGAGTGTCAACCACGAGTGCGCGAAAGGCCAATTATTCTGATCAGTTTGTTGTCAGTGATTTTTATTTTTAGTTTTCTGATTGATGTTTTATTTATATATTTTTTTTTGTTTCATTTCTTATAAATATGTCTATATGATCTATTTATACTCACATCAAATGTGTAACTTTATAAATGATAAAAATAAGTAATGTAAACATATCTTTTTTTAAAGGATGATTCAAAAATCATCGGTTGTTTCTTGTTTCTTCATCAGATGATTTATGTTCTATGTCGGTATATTGAAATAACGTTTGGCTTCTAGTATGAAGAGTTACAAGCCGAAGCCTCACTTCCGCACTGCTTGCAGATTGATGCTACAAACACTGCAATGCACTACGGAATTGAAGACACGGACTCGTCATTTTCTTATCGAATTCTTTAGTTCTTCAGGACTGCAGATACTTTTCTAACTACGCTTTTCTCTAATAACTATTAGTTAATGTATATACAACACACATGAACCTTCGTATATGCCTCATTTCACCGTTTTAAACTAAGCTAGTGCACGGTTAAATTTTCCAATCTTTTTCAAATAAATTACCAGCGATAAATTGGTTAGAAACATTATTTGTTCAAGAATATCACTAAATTCATCGTATTAGCGAAGAAAACCTCAACAGTATTTTATGGTTAAAACTATGCTACACAATTTCCGAAACCAGACTATAAACAGCTTAATTTAATCTCGTTAAAATTTTAGAACTTGGAACAAGGCGCACTTTCGTTAAAAGTTTTCTATTCCGGTAGCACCTCTCCTTATCGATCCCAAAGCAAAGACTTCTATTTCACACGACTGACGGCTCTTCTTCCGTAATTCTGTCGGGGTAGAGCACATTGATCAAAACAAATACGCTCGAGCCAGAAAAAGCGAAGAAGTCGCGACAATGAGATAACTGCATGATATACAGCGAGCGGATGCTGGAAAGAAAAGAAACGGTGATCGGTCACGAGATATAACAAAATTTTCGTTCTTGGGTGGGTATTTTCTGATTTTACTAAATTAACATATTATTCTTCTATTCCTAATTGATTTGTCCTAGACAGCATCTTAAATAAGTCAGAGAAGAAATGTTATCCAACCACTTTAAATCATTTATTTACGGCTTACATATTTTTTGCCAAGCAAATTTTCTTTCAGTTTCTTAAACGTAGTTGCTAGGTGCTAAATCTGGTGAATAGGGTATGTGGTTTACCAACTTAATAAGTATCAGACATTGAAACACAAGAAATGAGATTGGGTGCATTATCTTGATGGAATAGCACATCTTTACGGTATTTTCTACGATCTCTTCCTTCTTGTGTATAATGCAATTCTTAAATTAATTCTACAGAATAATGGCCTGTAATAGTAGCTCCCTTCTATATATGGACAATCAAAATTAACCCATCAGCATCTCAAAAACTGCATGCATCACCTTTCAGCTGATTTTATGTTATGTTGAGTGTATTGATGCACTGCGACCTAAAAGATCTACTGTGGCCCCTTCTGTTGCTAATTCACCGAGGAAATAGTCCTAATGCCTATAACGATCCTTCCAATCCTATCTTCTCAAGGAAGAGTAGAATTTTGAGTGGCTTCAAGTAAGGTAGATCGCCATTTTCTGTTTTGTATGCTCTAAGTAGAGTGCCCTTGGATTCTGAAGTGCTTCATATTCTGCCAGATTGTGAATAGAGGTTTCGTCTTTTTCCTTATAGAATCTGCTGCACTTCCTATATTTTACTACCCTCAGTTTACTAACGTGTCCTGTGAATAAACAATGCCCGGTAAAAATAACTATTATAATGAGTAACCTGTTCTTGCTCAGGCAAACAAAGGCTTTCGATGTTTCCAGGTTCTATTCACCCATAAGTAGCTAAGCCTGTCTTAGCCCCAAGACATTGTTCCAGTTATTGGTTCTTCTACTGCCCAATTCTATTTTAGTCTCTCCTAACATTGTGTTACAGGTTCCACAAAGGGTGATTAAGTCTCTTTCCTTGCGAGAATATCTGCAATTTCATTACCTTTTACCCCGTTATGTTCTAGTACCTATATTTTGCTGATGGAATCTTAATCACTAAACTGTTAGAAACTGCAAAGCCTAAGTTTTATTTTCCAATAAAATAAATTTAATAAATAATATTAAAACTAAATTGACGTATTTTATTTTTAGAATGACAACATCAATAAATAATATTCATCTAGTGAACTAACTAAATCAGTACTATCTTCTAACTTCCCCCCTGTATCTCTTATCCCAAAATAATTTTTTTTAATGTGTTCATCTGTAGACATAGTGATTGGCGGTTCTACATCATGAAGATTTGCATATGAAGCTCTTCTAAAATTGAATTTATGGCACCAGTGTTTCAGTAAACTAGCCAAATGTTGATGTTATATCTTGTTGAATTTTAGTATTCCGGTTTTCTGCAAATATGTTGTTACGACTAGTTTAATTTTAAATACAGTAAAAACTATACTATCACTAATTGACCCACATAATAATACTTTTATTCGGTACAAAAATTATATTTTATATCTATAACCTATATTATTCATAACTTATATTAGCTCTGTATCAGGTAAGTTGGTCCAACTAACAAAACTATATGCTTTATAGAAACTTACACTGATATCGGAAAATTGAACTGAATATATGAGGGGTATAATTTCAAAGTGTGCAATCTCCATATTTGGCAAATTTTCAGATAACGGAAAAAATTAATAACGGTTTTTCTCCGTACTAATTCTTTTAATCTACTTATATTATTATGCAAAGGTAATTTACCAGTTTTTTTCTTAAAATGACAAAAAAAGGAAGATATTTGAAAAAAACTATTGGAGATTATGCTAACCATTGGAGATTTCTCGATTTGAAAATAACTTCAAGGTATTAAATGTTTTATTTATTCTTTTTTATTTAGTTTAACGCTTAAAAAGTAGGTAAGAAATTGTTCTAAATAGCAATAATCAAAAACATCAAAAAATAAAGAAGTATTTCAAAAATAAAAAATATTTCAAAAATGGTTGAATTAAACTGCAACGTTTATTTCCTCCTCTACAACACGTTCGCATAATGGGTCTTCATCAACAGCATTATCTGGTATTGCATCCCCCTCTAAGGCAAATTTGTAAAAAAATAAAACAGGATCATTTTTCCACTCTTCTCCATAATGAGCAACTAGTAGGTTATTTACATCAGTTTTCTTAAGGGTGCTGAGAACATTCCGCATTGGAATTTTGGTGGGATTCATATTGCTAAGGTTCTTTGTTTTTTTTTTGTAACAGGTTTTCAAATTCCATTATTCGTATTATACGCACTTTCACCACGGACCAACACTGGGCCTTTTGAGTTTTTTGTAATAATCATCCTTTTCATTTTGGCAAAAGCAAAGTGCCACTGTCCTGGAGACTTACTAAACTTGCTCGTTTCAGTTTTCCAGTCGTAAATTTAAAGATCCTTTCCAAGTTTCAGGACAGTCCCATATTTTGAAAAAATATCCAAATATTCCTGGGGTTCTAAAATAATTTCCTTCTTCTTACACTCTTTTTCAATGTTACCAAAGACTCGATCAGGAGAAATAAAAGAGGGTCCTCTGACTGGGAATACAACTTCAATCTTTAAATTTATTGCATCTTGTTTGGCAAGCCAGTTGCTACACATTGTAATTAGTGTAGTGTTTTTGTTCTGGTCCACGCAACCATCACACATGAGCTTAATGCGCTAGTTCAGTGTGATGTCATTTTGGTTCCACTGACATTTAATTCTAACCAAACTTTTAACAAAAACATCAATAAATTTGACATATACGTTTTTACTGTTTTTATTTTATTTCAAAATATTGTTTACAGATCATAAAAAATAGTTTAAAGGTATGTAATTGGTAACTAAACGATTGCATATTTAATACATGCTATCTATTTACTTTATGTTTACTGTTATATTTATAAAAGTGAAAAAAACGATATAATTTAGGTTAACAAAACGAACAAAACGCATTCAAAAAATCTACTGTCACTTTAATTGTCAGTGGAACCATAATTACATAATCACTGAACTAGCGCATAGTATGAATATCAGTAAAATCCACATACTTTGATTTTCTTTTACTATACGGAGAATGGTCGTACTGCGCAGCTTTATGAGTGCCTTTTAAAAGGAGATAGAAAACTCCGCCATTTTGAACCCTTATTACGTGTTGCCTACATCTTGGCGCAATATTTTTAATAGGTGCGTTTTAATCATCTGCTTCTGCTTCGGAACTGTCAGTTTTCTTGTTTTAATCTGACAGGTTAAAACGACTAAACCGACAATTCCGGAAGTAGAAGCAGATGATTAAAACGCACCTGATATTTTGCTTGCTGCTGTCAGTGTCAGTGAATATTATTTTTGAAGTCACAGTTTATAGCTAAAGAATCAGTTAGCTCACTCGGACCAGTTGAAAGTTCCAAAATAACATCCACTCCAGGGATACAAATTCAGGATACGCAGAAGACTGCTGTTTTATTATAGGCGGTTGTCATATATTGTATTATCCGAGTTGCACAGTGTATAAACTGAAACATTGAGATCCAAAGTGCCGACGCAGAGTGAGCGATCTGATTCTTTAGCTGTAAACTGTGTCACAGGGTTCAAAATGGCCGCGCCCTATGTTGGGCGTGTCGGACCTCTCTCTTGCTTTGTATAGTAATCAAAGTATGTGGTAAAATCCGACGATTCCAAAACATGGTAGATACAGGAAACAATTTCATTTGAGCCTTTGTTGTACTCATTTTCAGTCCAACAAAAAGAGGTTACTGTATTGGGATTTAATTGGCTTCTAGAAGTGCCTCTTACAACAGTAAAGTTAAACATGTAAATTTGTCTGGAACAGTATGCTTTCTGACCAGGAACTTTTGGCAGAACCTGATTTTTTTGACAATCAAAGGAAAAAATCATGACACCTTCCTCAGATACCCTTAAAATATTAAAGAATGCTTGTTCCCTCATTTGATGTACCCTTTTCTCCGTCAATAGGCTGGCCTTGGTACCCTGATCCTTGCAACTTTTAATTTTTTCGGTCAACTGCAAGCATGTTGAGCAAACGTCAGTCCTAGGTGTGCCAAAACCTAGGTTATAGTTGGTATTGAAAATGAGTCTAAAATAACTCTCTTTTACTGGAATCTTCAAGTTTTCCTTCATGTACATTCTCTACATCATTTTGATGTTCAAAGAGGAGTCGAGATATAAGCGTTGGCTTTGTCCTCGGCAATTGCCTTAAATTTGTTTATAAAATTCATAACTAAATCTTTCTTTACCCTGTTGCTTTCCAATTTTCTGTCGCCTCCACGATTTTCCTTTGCTGGTAGAGAGGTATTAAAAAAGTTTCTAGTGACAGTGTTTCTAGTTATGCACAAAACTTCCTGGAAAGATGAGTGAGGATGTAAAATTGGGCTTGGAACAATTTTTCGATATGTCGAGAATTTTTTGGTCGTTTACGCTTTACAGGAACGGTTTCACAATATTTCAAAATAAAATTGTCCTGGAATATTTTTTCTTTCGTTTCGTAAAACTTTCTGTGAAACTCTTTTATTTCAGATATAGTAAGGGAGGTACACTGAAATGCAGATGTTTTGTGTCCACAAGTTGGGTAAACTGGAAGCAAATACCTGAAAAAAATAGGTACCCATTAGTTATCTTAAAGAAAATTAAACTCTTTTAACACCTACCGTAGTTTTTTCTGCTTGCTTCTCTTCCATTCTTCTGTTTTTCGTTTTCTTTTTCTGGGTTTATTATCAGTTATGGGAGTTATATTAACTTCCATTATTTTTGTATTAAATTTCACACGAAGTACACAGATACGACGAACTCAGCTGACTATGATAAACAGCGTGCGTACGGCTAGATTAAGACCACAGTACCACCCCCAATATTCGTAACATGAACTAATTTTGATAGATGTCATTTATGTGTCATAAATTAAGAATCCTTTTGTTCAGCAGATGGAGCAATATTCCATATTTAATAGTTCTTTTGTTCAACAGATGGCGTAATAATTTTATTAGTTCTAAATGGTAACTGTTATAAAATACCTAACAAATTCATCACCCCTAGCTACTACGCGATAATAACTAAACGAGTTCTTGACCTTGACAAATATTTTCGATGAAACAGGTATAAAAATAAAACTTTTGCATTAGATTCGGCACGTCGGTATATTTATTTAGTAGCAGCGTTGGGTTTATTAGTACAATTGTACTAGATTCAGTACATTTCAACCATTCATAAATGCTAGTACCACAAAAGACAAAAGTATCTAAATCTAGTACATTTTAAATATTTCGCTGGATCTTCTAGAATAATGTATTCTATGATTTCCAATTTCTATGGTAGACAGTAGATACTTCTGATACTCCCAATGCGATACTTTATACCAGGGAGGCTATTTTCAAACTCGAGAAAAGTCATTCCTCTCAAGAGAAATGTCATAATATGTCAACGTAAAACAGTATTTTTAGGGCCCTTGGGGCCAGTGTGAACTCAAATTCTCGTAAGAATTTTAATCCTCGAGGCCTTTCAAAGGGGCGTTTGATTTGAAACTCGATCGAGCGAGCGTCGAGGAGACCGAGAAGTGATGACGTCACAATAGGGCATTGAATCAAATCAAATAAAACAGAGTAAAAAACATAACCTCGCTTTTCTGTGATTCTTGTTTCTGGTTTGTATGTTAAAATAGTGAGCAAAAAGTAAAGAAAATGGAAAATTTTTTAATAATAAGGGGTAATGGCCCTGATGTGCAGCATTTACCACAAATGCCCGCTTCGCTCTCATACTCCATGACTGTGATTGCTGGTGATTAGATCTGGACAGAAAAAATGTATTTTCCAAACACACATTTTGTGTTTTTTTATGATGAATAATTTTAGCTATAAGACAAAAGCGGCTAAGTAATTTGTTGACTTCTTGTCTGATCTTTAATTTTGAGATTCAAATTTGTTTGTAAGTTAATTAAAAAGAGATAGGTAGAGACAAAGACAAATTTCTCCCTTTTCTCGATCTTTCTGCTCTGAGAACATCGAGCTCGCTCTATGTTGTCGCTCCAAAGCGAAACAAACACTTTAGGGATCTCTCGGAGTGTCAATTCAAACACTTTTGATGCGCTCGGAGATCTCCGATGATCAAATCAAACGCACCAAAAACAGCGTTTCCACATTGACGTACGACATTTCTGATGAGAATCTTGAGAGAAATGAGTGCTCCCATACTTTGAAAATAAGGGGTAAGAGATAAGGGAGTATGAGTCTTCATATAAGGGACATAGATATAAGATACGCTCCTAAGCATATGCTTAACAACCACCAGCTCGAACGCAGTTAACATCTGGCCCACTATGTGTCGCTATCATCGATATCAAACAAATAACCCAGCGGGAAATTTAAAAACCTGATAAATATCGACTACACTTTCATGTTCTAGTAAATAAATTTAAACATTGTTAATTACGGTAAATTATTTATTAAAAAGAATACTACACTTACAGTCTATTATAGATTAATTATTGTAAATCTATTGACATAACAAATATTTTTTAATTTTTACCCTTATTTTATTTGTTTTTCTATGAAAAATAGGTGTTTGTTTTTATTTTTAAATTTTATTATTTAACCATATAAAAATATATTTTTGTTTTACGTATTTTAATTTATATTTTTTTGTTTAAAATAAAGTTTATTTTGGTTTCTTTTTAAATTTTTTATTTACCAACGTAAGAATATATTTTTGTTATACCCATTTTATTTATTTTTTGGTTTAAAATGAGTTTGTGTTCTCATTTGAAATTTATCGCAAAATCTAGTACGTTCTAGTACAATCACGATCTGAATTTCAGTACAAGCTGTTGCTACTAAAAACCCAACGCTGTTTAGTAGTTCATTCTTGTGTCCAGTCAACAAAGGACAACGGTCTTCGTATCATTACGTAGGGACCATTTATACTATACATAGTGTTTCGTTAAGAATGGGATATAGACCAACTGACGATTCTCTGATTAAAAATAAGACAACTAAACAAATCATGCTTAGATAAAATGTTTCTTGGTACCGAGTTAAGGTGTTAAAATCCAAAAAATATTTATTGCTTTATTTTTTTTATTACTCACAACAATTTTACTAAATTTGGCAAACGTTTTTGGTGTCAAATTATCCACCTATCAGCAAAAAAATAAGTTACCTTAATTAACTTTTCCAGTGGCGTACAGCATTCGTACGTAATACCGCATACCTTTTAAATTTTACGTCACTATCCAAAATGTTATTTGGACATAAAATTTTAAATTTTTTGATGTTTTTAAAATAAATAATGTACTCTTAGAAATTTAATAAAAAAAAAATCGAAATTTAAAAACTACAGAATTTTCTAATATGTGCGAATATCTCAAAAACTAACTCAACTTTATTTAAAAAACATCAAAAGTGGACAGTGGACTAAAATTTAGAAGGAAAAAAGATGTTACTGGCCCATGACGTACGCCACTGGCAAAGCTTATTTAACTTATTTTTTGATGATAGATGTATTTTATTACACCAATAACGTTTGCCGAATTTAGTAAAATTAAACTGAGTAATAAAAAAATTGTAGCTATTTATAATTTTTGATTTTCAACTTTAAAACTCTGTTTTTCGGAAACAAGTAATGTTTTACCTACGGATGTTTCGTTTAATCGGCTTATTTCTAATCAATTAATCTTCAGTTGCTCCCATTCTTAATGGAATACCATGTATATACCGAAAGGTCTTACAGCCAAAGAACCAAATAAAAAAAGAAAAATGTACCTTATTTACCAACAATACTTTATTTAGATCTGCATCAGTAAAAAATATTTTCAAAAAATTTAATCTCATTTATATGTAAGTTGGCGTCATCGGCATATGGAAAACCTTTTTAAGAATTTAAAAAAAAAACTTATTTTTCATAAACAATTGCATGGTCTATTAATTTTAGAAAAAAAGTTACTTTACATAAAAAGTTATGCATGGTCTAAAACCTAAATTTCAATTATCTGATATCAAATTTTATCAGTCGTATACAGGGTTTGTCGAAAATAAAGGTATTTTATCTTGAGAGCAAAATTATATTTTTTGACAAACCTTGTAAAACCGACTGATAAAATTTGCTATCGGGTGGTTGCATTTTCTGTTAGACCATGCATAAATTTTTATGAAGAATAACTTTTTTTCGTAAAATAAATAATAAAAAAGTTTTCCATTTGTTATCAACTTACATAGACCTACTGTGTGTATGCAACTTATGACATATTGCTGAGATAATGTTTTTGTAAGAAAAAAGAAATTAATCATAAAATTTTACTTCATTTGTAGAGTCGTAATTTATGTTTTCATATTTCTACTTTTTTTGTCAATTTAGAATTCCAGTACTATTTTCAATTATAAATAAAAATTACGTATTTTAGATTAATCAATAAGAAAAATAAGGATTTTTGAAATATTAATAACTAAATACAAATTAAACAACAAATTAATAAAAAAGCATTTAAAACACGTTGACTGCCGAAGCAAATGTTGTGGTTGGGTCTTAGTAAACTACAATATCTAATAGACGCATGAATAAAATATATAAACGCGGCGCGAGATTAAATTATTACAAACATAGGTCGCGTGCATATATTGTGAATAATATATTCAGGTTGTCCCATTAGTGCGTAATTGTTCAATATTTTAATTTGTGTTGTAAACACGTAAACAATTTCTAAATAAAAGTTATATGCATTTCAAAAATAGGTATTTTAAAGATATTTTTAGACATACAGGGTTTTGCGTTTTTGTCTGACAAATAAAACGGTATATTTTTTAAAAAGAAATCCCTGTATTTTACTTCAGTTTTTGAATGCTTTGGTAATGCTGTATTTAACCCTAGAATTTTATTAACAAATATTGCAGGGTTGCCAATAAATTAATTTTTTTATGAAATTAGAGAATGATTCAGACCCCAAATTAAATTATCATTATTTAGGTAGGTTTAAAATAATTTCAATTTTTTTAAATGTAGTAATAAGATAGTAAGCTAACGAATAGTGGTAATAGAACTGGATTATTTTTTACAGTGTGTTTTGAAAAACAAGTCTTAAATATGGCTAATTCCAAGTTAAATTTATTTTATTTTTTTCAAATGCCACACCCTGTATATTATTTAAGCATTCAATTCCTTATAAATTAACATATCCAACAATATCAATAACACATATACAGGGTGTCCCATGAGTGCGTAATTGATCGATAGCAGTTTTATAATAGGAAATACGAAAAAATTAATATAAAAGTTGTATGACCATAATTAACAATTATTTATAAATATACAGGATAATCCATAAACGATTGTCTGACCAAACCTATACATTTTTAAAGTAAAACACCCTGCAGGTGCATATTTGACTGTTTTCACATCGTTTCAATAATTTCAATTTCATTCATTTGCTATGTTGTATATAGGATGTGTGAAAATGGTCACGATTTTCTTAATTTTCTAAATGGAACACCTTGTATGTTATGCCACCAATTAATATAATATTCCATTGAAAAAAATTTAAGCATTTGTAACCTCGCGTGTTGACACACTCTATATAGAACATAGCAAATGAATAAAGTCAATTAAAATTATTTGACGACGTGAAAACAATCAAATATGTATAACTACCTGCAGGGTGTTTTGATTTAAAAATGTATAGGTTTGGTCAACATCTCGTTTATGGACCACCCTGTATATATAGGAATAATTTTTAATATGGTCATATAACTTTTATATTATTTT